TTCAGTGACAACACAGCTGCAAAAAAACATCGCCGCCGGAGTGTTGCCCCGGCCTCATAACGCTTGTCCCGTCCAACGTCTCCGCCACCAGCTTCGGCATGACCTGGGCTTTTTTCTTTGAGCTAGCAGCTAGCAAGGCATACATTGATTATGTGCAGATTTCACTGCGCCGCCACCGCACATGCAATAAGACATGTAATGTAGGGCAGACATGCGCTGATTCTTTTTCTCAAAAACTCCATGACACCGCATGATCAGTGCTGGCTTGCAGTGTTTGCGCGTCAGCAAAGGAAGCTGGTTCACGGTTCACATCCGGGCAGCATTGCTGAGACGACCCGCTGGGTATCTACACATCGCACTAATCTAGCTGGCGACGTCAGAGCTCTCACGCACTGTGGATGCCGGGCCGGGTTTCTGCACATCTGCTGCGGGCTTGTCATCATCTTGGGTCGAACGAGTGGACACTCTCGGTGGGGAGAATGCAACGCCCAATGGTGTGGATGGGCCAGCACGGGTGGGGCGGCGCTCGGGTGTGACAAAGATTAGTGGCGGCACCAGGCTAGGTCCTGGACTGTCACACACTACCGGCGGCGATTCCAATTCAGCTGCTGCTGTCCGCTGCCTCTTCAACGGGCGCTCTGGTGTGACAAGTGTCGGGCGGGTTTCTGGAGTCACGTACTTGGATTCCTGGACTGCAGCAATCTGTTCCTGCTTCCCGGCCACGGTAGCCGAGCGATCGGCATGGGCGCTTGACTGCATGCCAGCGACACGACCTGTTCCCCACTTTGAGCCTTCTTCTTGGCTATCCATCCAAGAAAGCAAGACTCACTGCTTCCTGTACTGCCTCTGCGCACGACTAAGCACTGGCACGCAACGAACCACAACTCCACGCAATGCTAAAATTCAAGGAGACTCAAGACTCTTTTGCCGCAATTGCCATGCTCCACTGTGCTCTGGACGCAGGCTACGGCTGTCCTGGGTTCCAAGAAAGTGCCACTCCCACTGCAATTGTCCGCTCCAAGCTGTGGCCGAAACAATTAAAACATGCTTCGTTCTTTACCTAGACTCTGGATGTTTTGGGCCGATTGCTTGGCACTGTCAGAACCACACATGTCTCAGCCCATGCACAGGGGCGGAAAGCCTCGTGGTGCTGAAATTGTGAACTACACTAATTGCGAATATGACATCACTGATTTCCCTGGCTTCACCCCCGACGCAAGCTTCAGTCACGTGGCAGCGGAGGCACAGAAACAACACTGAGTTACCTAAAGTCTGTTAATCGCCCCAGACTAATAGAACAAGAAAACCAAACAAGAGCCACCAGCAGCAGCAGCTGCAGCAGACAGTGACAGACAGTGACAGACAGTGCAGCACCAGCACCAGCAACACCAAGCAGGCAAGAAGAACAACAACAGCAGAGAAAAAGACAACGACGAATGCTGCTGCTCCTGCCGCTGGAGCTGCTGCTGCTACTGCTGCTGCTGCTGCTACAATAATGTTGTTGTTGGTGTTGCTGTTGCTGCTGCTGGTTTATTAGTCGTAATACTCTTGTTGTTATTGTTGTGGTTGCTGCTGCTCTTGCTGATGTCGTTTTTGTCGTCGTCTTGGTTGTTGTTGTTGTTGTTGCTGTGGTGGCGGGCCGTCGTCGGTGTTCTTGTTGTTGCTGCTGTTGTGGTTGTTGTGCTTGCTGCTGCTGCTGCTGCTGCTGCTGCTGCTGCTGCTGCTGCTGCTGCTGCTGCTGCTGCTGCTGCTGCTGCTGCTGCTGCCTCTGCCTGTTGTCGTTGTCATGTGACATGTGCTTGTGCTTGTGCTCGTGGTTGTGGTTGTGGTTGCTGTTGTTGTTGTTGTTGTTGTTGTTGTTGCTGTTGTTATTGTTGTTGTTGCTGCTGCTGCTGCTGTTGGTGTCGTTGTTGTTCTTGTTGTTGTTGTTGTTGCTGCTGTTGGTGTTGCTGTTGCTGTTGCTGTTGTTGTTGTTGTTGTCGTCGTCGTCGTCGTCGTCGTCGTCGTTGGTGCTGTTGCTGTTGATGATGATGTTGCTAATGCTGCTGTTGTTGCTGTTGATGCTGCTGTTGCTGTTGCTGTCTCTGTTGCTGTTGCTGTTGGTGTTGTTGTTGTTGCTGCTGTTGTTGTTGTTGGCTTGTGTTGGTGGTGGTTTTGGTGGTGGTGGTGCTGGCGGTGGTG